AACTTCTCCGTCTTGCCGCAAACCCCAAAGCTCCGACGGCTCCGAGCCATCAGCAGCCCAAAGCCAACTGGAGGCGCCCAATGTCATTGTAAACAAGCAGCCCACGCCGCCCAGGGAGCAGGCTGTGGGCACTGGGACCGGGAGTGGGAGTGGGAGTGGAAATGGCGGCGCTACTTCCGCTTCCGCGGGCCCCAGTCAACTGCATCCCAATTATGCGATGGATAAGTAAGTGGCAGCTGTGCCAGCAATCACGTCGCATGTTTGTTTTCGTTTCTTGGTTTTTGCTCCCAAAACTTTTTCTTTAAGATCTGAAAGCTAAAGTACTTGGCTATAAAGATTGTCTGGGAAATTAGTCCCAAAATAGTTTTGACTGCGATCCCCTAATAGTGTATCCTTTTTCGTTTGTTTCGCTTGCCCAGTAGCACCCATCGCTTCCCTCCTTTTATAGTTGCATGTCACCGCCTGAAGCACACAGAACTTGAATCATCGAAATATGTTCCAAACCATCAACTAATGCATCTGTTTTCAGCATACCCAAGCTGAGGGATCGGTCCGCCTCGCAGGGATGCATTCCGCCGTATGTGGAGCAGAACCGGACGATGGTGTTCCTAGTGGGCCGCTGTGATCTCCGTCTCATCTCGCCTGATCGCAAGCAGGTTCTGCTCTACAAGGACTTCAAGGACGTGGCCAGCTGCGTGCACGGCCAGAAGTCGCTGGACCACTTCGGCATCATCTGCCGGGAGCTGAACAACGATGGCTACATTGGCTACGTGTTCAAGTGTCAGTCGGAGCATGTGTGCGATGACATAGTGGCCGCCATTGCTCAGGCCTTTGACACCTGCGCGGAGCAGAAGAAGAAGGAGGATACCCAAATCTTCAGCTGCGAGCACTGCCCGATGCTGTGGTACCACAAACTGTGCACCGACGTCGAGGGGCTCTCCGAGAAGAAGACCCAGGCCCTGATCCTGCGCCGCATCGAGACTCTGAGTGACGATGAGCAGGAGATTGTGTGGGCCAAGTTCTGCGGCTCTGAGAAGACCAACTCTCCGGTGGCCGAGCAGAACCAGTTTCTCATGATGCTGCTCAGGGCGCACTGCGAGTCCAGACAGCAGAGGCATGTCCACGACACCGCAGAGAACCGGTCGGAGTTCCTTAACCAATATCTCGGTGGCAGCACCATATTCATGAAGGCCAAGCGCTCGCTTACCAACTCATTTGATAATCTCCTCAAGCGGAAACCCTCCAAGGATGACATTGCCGTGCCGTCGCACAACCTAAGGGACATCAGGGAGGGATCCGCCGAGCCTCTGGGCACCCAGTCACCTCCCGAGGGCTTCCGATCCCGATCGAGCACTGTAGGAGCTAGTCCCACCAGCAAGCCCACAGCTGAGCAGCTGAAGAGTCCCATGATGGATATGTAAGTAAAGAACTTTGTGTTGTTGAAGTCCACTAATATCTTCCATTGGATAGCTTCATCAAGGTGGGCAACAGTCCCAAAGAGGCGGAAACCCATCAGGGCTCCTGGCGTCAGGCCATACTTAACAGTGTGGTGACACCATCCAAGGGTCTGGATAATGAGGTTCCCACCGAGTTTCTGTCGCCAATGCGAAAGCGTAAGTAATCCCTAAATCCTTAAGTTTTGCTCATTATTAATTGTGCATTGATGTGATAGCTGTCAAGCGTGGTAAGCGGGATGCGGCGGAGCTGAGGGAACTGTGGCGCACTGCCATCCGGCAGACTATAATGCTGAACCGCATGGAGACGGAGAACGCAATGTTGCAGGCACGTCAGAACGAGAACGAGCTGAAGCGCATCAAACTGGACTACGAGGAGATTGTGCCCTGCGACAAGCAGCTAATCGAACGATGGGAGCAGATCATCGAGCGCAACTCCACACAGATCGGCAACAAGAAGGATCCCAAAGTCCTGGGCCACGCCATTCGCACCGGAGTGCCGCGATCAAAGCGCGGCGATGTCTGGACCTTCCTGGCCGAGCAGCATTCCATGAACACGGCTCCGGTGGACACAAAGCGATTCCCCAACTTCAATACACCGTATCACACGCTGCTGAAGCACCTTACTGAGCATCAACATGCCATTTTCATCGATCTGGGCAGGACGTTTCCCAATCACCAGTTCTACAAGGATCCGCTTGGTCTCGGCCAGTTGTCGCTGTTTAACCTGCTGAAGGCGTACTCCATTTTAGATCCGGAATTGGGGTACTGCCAGGGTCTGGGCTTCATCTGCGGCGTCTTGCTCCTGCATGTGAGTTTTCCTAATCGAGTTCCATAAAGAACACTAAATGATTATCGTGTTTATCGTTTCCAGTGTGATGAAGCCAATGCATTTCAACTGCTGAAGCACTTGATGTTCCGCCGTAATATGCGCACAAAATACCTGCCTGACATGAAGAAGTTTCAACTGCAGCTGTATCAGCTCTCCCGGTTGGTAAAGGATCATCTGCCGGATCTTTACGTGTGGCTCGATCAGAACGATGTCTCGCCTACTTTGTATGCTGCTCCATGGATCCTCACCGTCTTTAGCTCACAGTTCCCGCTGGGATTCGTGGCCCGCGTTTTTGATCTGCTCTTCCTGGAATCCTCCGACGTAATCTTTAAGTTTGCCATTGCTTTGCTCTCCGTGCACAAGCAGCAGCTGCTGGCCAAGGATAACTTCGAAGAGATTATGGACTATCTGAAGACCGTGGTGCCGAAGATGGAGCACACCTGCATGGAACAGATTATGAAGCTGGTCTTTAGCATGGACATAGGCAAGCAGCTTGCCGAATACAATGTGGAATACAACGTGCTTCAGGAAGAGATTACGACCACCAACCATCACCTGGAAATGCTGAACAAGGAGAAGACGCAGAACCAGCATCTGGAGCAACAATTGCAGGTGTGCTTTTAAAACTTATTTGTGCTGACATCCAGCCAGCAAGCAAAACTTCAATTTGTTTCAATACTGATTGTACTATTTATATTTTCTGCAGTTTGCTCAATCTTCGATTGCTCAGCTGGAGACAACCCGTTCCTCACAGCAAGCTCAGATAACTACGCTGCAATCGCAAGTTCAGTCGCTGGAGTTAACCATCCAAACCCTCGGTCGCTACGTTGGCCAACTGGTGGAACACAATCCCGACCTGGAGCTGCCGAACGAGGTGCGGCGCATGCTCCAGCAGCTGGACGACTTGGAGCGCCAGCGTCGCAAACCCATATTCACCGAACGAAAGATCGGCAAATCCGTTTCCGTCAACAGTCACTTGGGGTTTCCACTCAAGGTGCTCGAAGAGCTGACCGAAAGAGACGAACTTGGTTCGCCACAAAAGCAGAAGAAGGAGAAGACACCTTTTTTTGAGCAGTTGCGTCAGCAGCAGCAACATCAACAGCATCGCCTCAACGGGCAGTACTCTAACGTCGGTGAGTCGGTGTCCCCGACTCCACCTTCGCGGCCCAACCGGCTGCTGGACAATGCCAGCGCTCGGACCGTCATGCAGGTGAAACTGGACGAGCTGAAGCTGCCGGAGCATGTGGATAAGTTCGTAGCAAATATCAAAAGTCCCTTGGAGGTGGATTCCGGCGTGGGCACGCCCCTCAGCCCGCCCAGCACGGCGAGTAACAGCAGCGGAGGCAGCATATTCAGCCGCATGGGCTATCGGACAACGCCCCCAGCCCTCTCTCCGCTGGCCCAGCGACAAAGTTACGGAGTGGCAATTACCACGGCAGCCTCTCCTCAGCACATGGAGGAAATGACGCCCGCTGCAATGCCTGGGGAAGATGTCGAGGAGCCGCAGCCCATGCATCCGCTCAGCATGGCCGGGGGCGATGTAAACGTGCGCTTCAAGGGCACCACGCAGCTCAAATCCATACGCCCGGTGCACCACATGCGGGCGATCCCGCTGGGTGGAGTGCCACACCAATCCAGCACGGAGCCCACGGTGCGAGTGGCGCCCGTGCCCGTGGAGCTGACCCCACCAGCGGCCACTGCAACCACCGGTCGCAGCTAGCGGTTCTGATTCATCGGCAAACTGTTGCGCGGATTTTACCGCGATTAGGGCCCGCCGGCAGAACGGGCAGCTTTCAACCCAACGCTACTTATAACCTTTTCTGTTGCGGCTTAGATGCGATTTACCCAACCTATAAGATCACACTTAAACTTCGTTTTCAAATTGTGTGTATGTGTCGATGTGTCGATGTCTCACAAAATGTTGCCATAGATATTGCTCCGGAAGTTACGCAATCGTTATAAACTGATGCCCCACAAATTAGACAAGTATAGCTGCTTATAGAAATAAATTGGATAATGCTTTTTCAAGGTTTTATAAATTTGGCTAGCGCATCAAAATCGAAGCTTATAACCTAAGGCATCACCCTAAACAAGAAAATCAAAAGGCATTAATGAGTCTGTAGTTTGTTTTGAAGTTCCCCCTACTTTTGACATAACATTTAACGAATTTACTTAGAAATTTATTGTTGATTTTCGTGTTTCTTTAGTTCTAGACCATTAGTTCTTAATGTTATTTTTAATTTACCTATATTTGTACATTTCTCGCAGGGTTTCACTTTGCAATGTAAACTAAAGGCAAAAACCTAATTTATAAAACGATGATACTTGCGTGTACATTGTTCTTGACTAGGATACAACTTTCCTAAATCTCTTTCGTTACGATTATGGTACTTGGATTGTATTGATTGTTTACATATATATACGATTATGAACTATACAGAATACAAAGATACAAGCAAAGAAAATAACAATTGGTTTTGTGTAAAGTACTTAAATATTGCTTAGCTGGACGGTTTTTATCAGGCGTCCTGAGTTTGTGTAGCGGATTTGTGTTAGCATATGAGTAAAATCAACAATTATATGAAAACAGAATAAATTCACAAATTATTTAATCAAATTTTAAGTGTTTATATGTGGGTGGGTATAAATGACGTCATGTATTTGGATTTTTGTCTATACAAGTAAACCCCAAGTAAGCCTCAAACATCATATAATTTGTTTAAAGTAGGGTTGGTTTATTTAGAACAATGCTGCTTGTCCAAAGTTTATAATTATTTATTATAATATGATCCTCTTAAATGATAAAGCAAAAGAAGTAGTCATTATTTACTAGGGTATCACATACAATGTAAGGCTTAGACGCTATGTTATTGACAACCCAAGTCTCCCAAGTTCTGCATATCCTACATCCTATCAAGTAAAAAGCTACTCTAATGAAAACATCACAGATTAGTCAAACTAAAATTCAAGAAGATTTTTTTATTCAAAATAGCTGAAAATTTTAAAAATTAATGTGGCACTGAGAGATTCTAAGCTAGGGGAAAATGTTTGGCAAAAGCCAATTCAGCTACACTCTGCATGAAGACTTGCAGCTTCTCAAAGTGTGGTTGAGTTGGTTTTTGTGGAGGGAAGGATGCCTTGTCCTGAACCTGCCTGAACCCACTTAAACACAGCTAAACCTGCTTGAAGCGCATATGTACAATGTCCCACGTCCGTCGGTCGAACTAACTAGCTACAAACTACTCTAAGGACACGCATCCTTCCTACTCCTTAAACTCCGGCTTAAAGCTAAACTCGGATTTCGGTTGCTGGACTCCGGATCCATTCGCCGCCGCTGCCGCCGCCGCCGCCGCTGATGCGGCGCTAAGTGCTGCCAGGTTCCCGAGTATGGAGGGATTCTGGGTCATGCCGGGGTAGAGGTTCTGGTAGAAGAGGGGATTCTGCAGCTGGAAGAGGGCCATCAGGTGGGTGAGCTGAAAGTTGGGGGCTGTGGGATCCGCTCCTGGAGCGGTGCCAGTGGGCAGGAGGCCGGGAAAGAGTCCACTTGTCAGCGGGTGCACGGCGGTGGCTGGCTGGGACTGGGGCAAGTTCATGGCGGGATTGGAGGAGTCATCTTCGAGCTTCGGGCGCTTGGCTTCCGACTGCTGAGCATCGGCTGGCAGTTGCTGTAGTCAGTTGAGAAAATATAGCTTTAACATCGTAGAAAATTTCCGAAAATATAAACCCAAACTTACGATTTTCTTGGGTGGCCTGCCGCGTTTCCGAGCCAGAAAGTGCTCGGCGGACAAGGAGGAGAGTGGAGTGGAGCTGTTGCTGCCACACACAGAGCTGCTACCCTGGGATTGACTGAGGCTAGTGGACTGCTGCTGCTGCTGCTGGTGGGGCGTGGCATCCAACGAGGACTCGTCCACGTCCGGCTTGATCTTAAACTGCTGATATGCCTGCTCTCCGTCCAGGCGATCATGCTTTCTCTTGTGGCTGATCATCTGGCTGCTGGAGTGCAGGATGTAGTCGCATCCCTCGCGGACGCAGTGGATGTGGTTGCAGACGGTGGAGAACTTGCAGGCGTCGAATGGACAAACTTCGGTCTTCAGGATCTTTTTGAAGCCGTCCATCTTCAGCTGGTGGTCCTTCAGATGGTAAGTTTTGTGCTTGTCTAAACGAGAAACAAATATATGATTAATGATTTATTTTATATTGGATTTATTCAAGTGGACTTACCCATATCGGCCTTGTTCTTGAAGGTATGATTGCATCCCTCGCGGCAACAGTGGTAGTGGGAGATTTTCTTGCCGAAGAAGGGGCAATCCTCGATGCGGCAGTTCTCGTGCGCCCGGAAGCGCCGGAAGCCCTCGTTCACGATCTCGGAGTCCTTGCGGTGGAAGTTGGCGTGCATCTGGACGTCGCTGGTGCTCACGTACACCTTGGGGCAGTGCTCGTAGACGCAGTGGTAATGGGTCTGCTTCCAGTTGTAGGCGCAGCCCGCTCCGTAGGCTGGGGCACAGTCGTCCGAGGAGGAGAAGCGGGCGAAGCCCAGCTTGAGGCTCTCCTTGCGCTTCTTGTGCCACTTCAGGTGCCGGATGATGTCGTCCTTCTTGCTCAGGATCTTGCCCTGGCAGGGCTCCTCGTGGCAGTGGAAGTGCTCCCGCAGGTTCTCCTGCCGACACAGGCTGTTCTCGCACTCCAGGTAGGAGGACACCTTGCGCAGGTTCTTCAGGACCTCCTCGTTCTGCAGCAGAGCATCCAGGCCGCTGGCCGCCGAGAGGCTCACCAGGCTCTTGCTCTGCTCACTGGAGGGTGGTGTCAGCAGGGAGATGGCTTGGGTCGCTTGGAGGGGTGTGTTGGGGGTCAGATCGCTCTCGACGGGTGTGATGTGGTACGATGAGTCCGCCGGCTGCTTGACGGGCGTGTACTGCAGTAGGAAGAAGAGGGTGGAAGAACTTTAGAGTCAATACCAGTACGGATGCATCTGTGGGACCCAGCTCAGACTGCCTGGTGCCCAGCTGGGCAGCGATCGAGCCACCCAGGGAACCCACGCGTTGCCGACACAGCTGTTTCTTTTCTGTGGAACCGCGAGATTTCTGGCTGCTCTCACACTTAAATATCTAAAATCACGAATCGGGTTTCTCAAATTACAGCAACAGAGCGTGGGATATACCCAAAATAAAAATAAAAAACAGAGCAAAATAAGAAACAAATATACAGCTTTCTGATTTCAAATCGGAAAATAGTGGCTGAGTTGAAAGGTACATTTTTATAATTTAAATTCTAATGGTAAATGTGCAATGATTAGACAATTAATTAATGGGGATACTGATGAAATGAACTGTGAAGATCCTTTAATCTAGGGATGATCACTTACCATGCTGGGTGAGTCTAGGCTGTCGGTGGTGGACTCCAGCGGGTGGACGCCCGTCAGGAGCAGCTTCTCGGAGCTGGCGTTGGTGTGGCCCGAGGAGCTGCAGCTGGTGAGGCTGGAAAGCGGCTTGTCATCGTCCTCGTCGTCGGCGGACTCCTGCTCAAACTTGACCTGGACCGCCGAAAGGTTACCGGCAGCTGCTCCGGCGGAGAAGGCTGGTGTGGCTGCCTTCTCTCTCTCGATGGGCGTGGAGGTCACTGTAGAGGATTGGAGAAAGTTATTTGTGGCTAGCTGTTCGGAGCCGGCAAGCTGGCCCAGCAGCAACTGATGCTGCAGTGGCTCCTGCTTGCCCAGCGAACTGGGGGTGTGGGTGGGTGTTAGTAGGAGGTTGGAGGTGGTCAGCAAATGTTGCTGGTGCTGCTGCAGCTGCAGCTGCTGCTGCTGCTGCTGCAACATCAGCTGCGTCAGCGGCGGCAGGCTCTGGAGCAGCATCTGATTGACCAGGTTGCTGGGGTTGCTGTTAGGAGTGGGAGGTGTTGCCGCTGTAGCGCCTGGGTATTGTTGTGGTTGAAAAGCAATCAAATTACTATTGGGACTACAACTACGGCTACTACTACAGTTGGTGTTTTGCGAGCTAATGCGCTTGTGCGTTCTAGTCTGGCGGAGATCTGGCTGTTGATGCTGCTGCTGCTGCTGCTGCAGGCATGTGCTGCTGGTGATATCCTCGTTCTGGGTGTAGGTGTATCCAGCTAGCTGCTGCTGCTGCTGCTGCTGCTGCTGCGGAAGCTGCAGCTGCATTTGCTGCTGCTGCTTCATCAAGTTCATCATGTAGAGCTGCATAATAAACTCCATTTGGTTGGACATTTCTGCGGCGCACGTTCGCGTATATATTCAGCACAGCACTGGACTTTTTAAAAATTCTTTAAGATTTCTTCAATTTTGATATATTCAACACAGATCACAGCACGTATCTCGAATCTCGGCTTTGGGATTTCTCGTCCTCGATCTTGCACGACTTTCTTGCACGGCGTCTCTGCGATCCTCAAAGTTCGGCTGCGAGGCTCAAACTGCTTAAACTCTTCCGCGGCCTCCGGCTAATATAGCAAAAATTGCGCAAATCCAACCCAAGTGCAACCCTCTCGCCTCTCTTAAAAAACCGATCTTTCGCCGTCGCTCTCTTAAAAAACGAACATAATGAGAAACCCGTTGGTGGTGGTTCGACCTTCATCCCCTAGTTTTTTAACGAACCTTCGCCGGAAAATGCTCGGGGAAAACTCAGCTTGTTTTCAGCTGGTTTCCGTTTTTCGGTCGCTTTTCTCGACCAATAAAACGCCGGCGTTCATGTAAATATATCTGGAAAAGAGAGGTTTTTTGCTAAAAAATGCCATCGAATGCGAAAGCGGAGCGGGTATATGTGCAGGAATCCCGCTTGGCCAGCGTGCGACAGAAAGGGACAGCGGCAGATAGAAGAGCACAGATCAGCGGAGGAATTTTTCCACTTCTTTCAAAGTTCTCAGGCGAATTTCGAAAATGTTATGAAGAACACGGGAGTTACTCGCAGAAATCTGGTAAAAACATTTGTAAACTTAAAACTTATGAATAGTTCTTAGTTTCATTACCATTATAATTAAAAATTCTTTCCTTTTTATCCATATGTATTTTTTATTTTATCATGAAAAATATAATCTCAAGTACGTAGTCCCAAGGATTATACAATACCAATTCCATAAACGAATGCTGTGCATGAATTGCAATTGCGATTTTCCCAAATACTTTCTCACACTAAGTATGAGCATCTGCAAACCGTTCGCCTATTTCCATAAATATAATCAAATCTTAGGCCGTATAAAGTATAGAACCGCATCTTTGTGCCCTTTTCCAGCACATCTCTATGCAAATTGTCTGCGCGAGTTTTGGCAAAACCGAGAATCGAAATGATTTCAAGGAATTGGCGCGTTGCAAAAAGGATATCAAACTGGAGCAGCTGGCTGTCCTTTTCGAAATAATCGAATGAAATCCATTCAAATGCAAAAAATAAAAACCCAAATTTTCAAATTAAAATTACAATCGAGCAAAAAATCTGCATTACAATCGTGCAAAAAAACACAATTAAAGATGCCAAATTTTTCATAGACCCATGGCAAAAAAATTAGCATATAAAACCGTTTGCAGAAATTCTGAACCTGAGCAAACCCCTAAAAAACAATTCCATTCCATGCCGGCGACATCTACATGTAACATCCGCTGCGCAGGAGCACGAATACTTTGCGGATCGTAATTTGCATAAATTATTGCTGTATAATATTTGCATAATTTTGGCACATCAGCCTCAGGCGGAGCGTGCGATCGGGTAGGAAGTTCGACATCCGGATCACCAGCTCCTCCAGCCAGTGTTATGCAAATGGACCTGCACTTCCTCGGGGAGGAGGGATTGCTCGCATTACAGATTCGGGTGCGCGGATCGACTGCGCACGCGCGCAGTCTGGAAATTTATGCAAATCAGCAAGGGAATCCCCGAGCATCGAGGAATCGATTGGCGTAGGACGAGAGGCGCAGTTCGATTGATTTTGAATTAGCATTTTACTCGGCAACGGGCAAGTTGGGAGAAGCGCAGGGATCGGGCGGCAGGATCAGGCCAGGACATGGTTTGTCCCTTGGTTGGCGAATTGGGATGGAAGTGGATTTACCAATTGTTGCCATAATTGAGTGACATGGATAACGCAGCAAGAGCAAGCCGAGTTCGGGGCTATTGATTACAGAAAAGGTTCCATGCCACATTGTAAAATGGCAACGGAGAACGGAAATCTGCATGAAAATGCGAACAAAAGTCCATACATTTGGTTCATTCACAGTCTTCCTTCGCTTTTATGCTTTCGCATTTGGATCTAGAATTTACATATGACAATCTCATATTCAGTTACAAATGTTCCGACATAGAGAACTTTTGTTAGTCGCCTTTGTTAAATGTTGTTGCTGGCTGGCTCAGTTGATTAACTCCAATCACAGGACGAGTTCAGAGTTCAGATCCTGCGACTGCCACTACGATTCCATGAAGCGGCAAAAATGGTAACTTTGGCATTAGCATTACACTGGCGAATCAATTAGCCAACTGAAGGGCATGTCACAGACTGAAGAGTGGGACTTTAATTGCAGTGGAAGTCCGTCTACAGGAGAAGTTACTGTACGGAGGAACAAGTTATCTGTGATGTCATCAACGTGAGAAAATCCCGGGAACACTTTGAACTGAGAGGCATCTCCCATCTATCTCTCTAATTACGCCAATTGCCCGTGGCACTTCGATTTCTTTGTCCTTTTCCCAATTTTCCCGATTTATGCTAAAAAGTAAACAGAAGGCACACCCTATTTACCTATTTTCCCTATTTTCCAGGGATATGGAATATTTTCTGTAGTTTCTTCCTTTTTGAGATCCTTTGTTTTGGGATGCGTTTAGCCACAGATTTATTGCCTAAACCATCGGAGTATCTCATCTTCTACCCCCGAAGGCAATGAAATTCTATTCCCCAGATCGATGATATTTCAATATATTCATTGCCAATTCTCGCTCTTTGTTTGTGCAATACTGCTGACCTGTGACCCCAAGAAAAGAATCCCTGGCTGCTGTCCCTTTTGCATAAATCTCGGCTATCAATGACCACAGTCAATGCTAATAGGATCTTAATTTGCGAGCGTTTTGTCGACTCTATTTGAGGATTCATCCTGGCCACTTAGGGTTGCAGTGGATGGACTAAGACGATCGCAGTCCCAGAAGACAATGCAAATGTGATAAGTGTTAAGGCAGTCCCGCCGGGCATCTCGGACTGACCAACCCCACGATGGACACGCGTCCGAGTAATCCCAGCAGTTAGAACTGGTCAAGAACGGGTTTCTGGACGTACCGAAGGGGTTAACGATTAAGTGGTCGTCAAACGGTCATTCCAGGGGTCAGTTTGGCACGCGTCCTCCTTAGTAACTGACCTATCAATTTAAGGGATCCCCACACACAATTTATTTATTATAATAAATGCTATTATTAAAAAAATAGGCAAGAAATCAATACAAAATTTGGTTTAATCACTCATTGGAACTTAAAGGAATATTATTTCATTTGCTGTTGCTTTCAAGTTTTCTTTTACTTTGCAGTATTAACTTAGTAATAAAATTGTATTAGAAATAGAATATATTTCTGTACTTCGAGATCAAACTTAAAATGTATCTTTCCTTAACAAACACAAAGGATCTTACATATAAAGGATCTTGCATATAAAAACGTGGAATCTGATGGCCCTACGTTTTTCGTTTCCCAACTAAGACCTTGATCTATTGTCACTGCTCAGTTCCCATGAAAAGTTCGTCGTGAATTCCTTGAGAAATGTCCGTTAATTGGGGAACACGGGTTCAACAAAATGGCTGACCTCCGTCCGCAGAGCTTCCCGAACGGGACAGGACCTCCGCAGGACACGCTGAGAACAAGGTAGAGAGATAATTTGAATGCATGACCGCAAGGGAACCCTTTGAACCGCCTGTCCGTCCGTTCGCCACCCCAAGGATACCGAGTACTCGCAGCATCGCGAACGGGATCAGAATCAGGACGAGATACCCAATATCCAGCAGCAGCAGCATCGCTTCACTGCCTTTGGGCTGACCAGATCCGGCTGTAGACCGCCATATGGCTCGTATATCCTGCAAGGGTTCAATCCTTTCGACCTTTTTTTTTGCTATGCTGTCGAATTTTCTTCGCGGCCTTTCCGAAAACTAATGCCAATGTCCAAACCGGTTTCCTTGTGATTTTCACTTTTGATTCGTGGTCGCGAGTCCGGTCCGGTTTTCGGGCGAGGCGGTCCTTCCAGCGAACGACCCTTCAACCCTTTTGTGTTTTCCGGACCGCTACCGAAAGGATGCGCAAAGCGAATAAAATTGCAGCTTTCGGCTTCATTGTATTAGGTCCTGACCCGAAGGACAAGATGAGATGAGAAATATTTTCTCAAGTTTCTTAGGATCCTTGAAAGGATTCCCGAATAACCGTTATAAATTAGCGGTGGTGGGGAAGTAGACCGAATGAGGTAATGTGGAAAAATGGAGGGCATGACCACTGCCCGTCGCAATTAGTCCTCGATTTCTGGCCACGCGTTCACCATCATGTGATGACCAGTCAAGATGACCACCGATGACCCTACCGAGAAACCTGTTTGACCACTCAATAAGAAGCCCATTATCCTTTGAGGACACGTGCTTCCCATTGGTCACTGTCCTTCCAGAGATAATCTCTGACTTCTCACTCGTGTCGCCATTGTTCACGCAAATCCGCACGTGTCCACTTGGATTGAATGGACAGAAAAAAATATTCATCTCCACTCAGGTATCTGCAATATTTCTAGCATGAAACCATCAGCGTGCATTGGCCAAGGGTCAGAAATCTGTCACAAGCATAAAGTATCTAAATATGCATTCGAAATCCGAAGGTAAGAGACATCGGGTAGACGTTGAGATACTGAAATATCTTAGGCAATAAATCTGTGGCTAAACGCATCCCAAAACAGAGACTCTGAAAAAGGAAGAAAAGACGTGAAATATGCCTTATCCCAGAAGAAAAGAAAAAGAAATAGGTAAATAGGGTGTGTTTGCCCACTGAAGAGCCTTTCGAATTGAATATTCAAAGGTTTTCTGTTTACTTTTTAGCATAAATTGTGAAAATTGTAAAAATTGGGAAAAAGGACAAAGAAATCGAAGGGCCACGGGCAATTGGCGTAATTAGAGAGATAGATGGGAGATGTCTTGCTCTCGAGGATTTTCTCACGTTGATGACATCACAGATAACTTGTTCCTCCGTACAGTAACTTCTCCTGCACACGGACTTCCACTGCAATTAAAGTCCCACTCTTCAGTCTGTGACATGCCCTTCAGTTGGCTAATTGATTCGCCAGTGTGATGCTAATGCCAAAGTTACCATTTTTGCCGCTTCATGGAATCGTAGTGGCAGTCGCAGGATCTGAACTCTGAACTCGTCCTGTGATGGGAGTTAATCAACTGAGCCAGCCAGCAACAACATTTAACAAAGGCGACTAACAAAAGTTCTCCATATCGGAACATTTGTAACTGAATATGAAATTGT